GAAGGTGAGAGGGGGGAGCTCGTCGCTCAACCCCGAGGCCAAAATCCGCCGAGAGAGATATATATTTATTTCGTAAAAATACAAAATTGTGGCAAATGGTCACAGACGATAAATTGTACATATGGTGACTAGTTAGTATTTTCATGGAGACATTGAGGTATTATGGTGGATGTGGTGAGAAAGGTACGTAAGAATGTATTGTTCTGGTGCAAGGAATATTGTTAGTGTTGTAGAGTAGTTTTCACAGTGGAGGCTTGTATTTGAATAAGTCATCCTAAATTAGGTTCGACGTACAAAACATTAGGAACTTGAAAAAAGAGTTAATGACGCAGTAATCTAGTTGTGATGGTTGGTACTTAAATGTCTAATATCGACTGACTCGCTCAACACCACTGAGCCCCAACTGGCGACAACTACTACTACTTATTATGTGTGGGAGAGTCTATTAATAATAGAATAGGTACGTCCGGTATGACAGTTAGTATGATTGGATCAGCGTTTGTGGCTAGCTAAGTTTAAAGTTAAGACAGAAGACCGACCTTTTTCCCCTTCCCTTTTTGGCCTTGTGCCACATATTCTGAATTAAATAAACTTTTCTACTTTGAATTTCAGCGGACACATTTAAAAATGTAATCTCTCAGAGAAATCAGCGTTTCCGCCCACTTATGGGAAAACGCCATGAAACACATTCACGCACGAACATTCACCAAAATACAAACTCTTTACGTTCACACACAAGCACAAATGTTAATGTCTTTGTCACTTGTAAATTTTTTGTTTAATACATATATTTGTTGACATATATATATTTCGGTCTTGATTGTTTTCTTTACATCTTCGGTTGTCCGCCATTGTTCTTGTAGTTGGACCTTCTTCTAGCGGGAAATAAACAGCACGTGTTTCTAATTCAACAACACTCAAACACACGGTTCTTTAGAGTAACCCGGGGGAAAGAAATCCCCATTCTCGCGATAGGGACGAAGGATTGCGTGTCGAAATCTTAGAGCAAAAGAAAGCAGAGGCACGGATAGATCTGTCCTTTTATAGTACTTAAATCCCACCACCTAACGGTCGTTTTTGCAGACCAAGTGGAAGTAATCCTCACAAAGTGTATGATGTTATAGAAATTAAATTTGAACTAATTTTTTTTTGCGAGACACAGGGAATTCTAAGCAGTTTAATCATTCTCTTCAAATCTCCCTAGATTTGGGGCAATCCATTCATATATAAACAGATTTTAGGGCACCTCGCTGTGGTGTAATGGTTAGCGAGCGTGTCTCGCTAAAACAGTTAAGACTGAATAGAGAGTTCGATCCTCACTGGGTGCTCTATACTTTCGGCCTTGTGCCACATCTAAGCTATACTTGGAAAATCTCTATAAACAGATTTTAATATAAGTTTCAATTTAAGATATAAAATATCAGAATAAAAATGAAAGCAAGGCTATTCATTTCTTAATTCAAGACAGAACATATTTTAATTCACGAGTTGTTAGAATCCATATTTTCGGGTTTGTTTAAGAATATTAACTGAAAACTGTGTCTGTACATATCTATGTGTATCTTTATGTGCGCTTAGTTGATACTGTGTGTGCCTGTCTGTGCTAGTGCCTGTGGGTGTCTGTATGTGCCTGTTGGTGTTACTGTGTGTACCTGTATGTGTTTGTGCCTGTGTTTGTAATTGTACTCTGAAGATGACTGTTATAGACAAGCGTATGGTTGCAAGAAAGAAATACGACAACAGCAGAAATAGATTTACGTGGTTTATTTCAATAGGAACGTGTGGGTTTGGGACAGCTACCTTGTGGTAAAGTTCATAAACCGGCTTCGGATCTAGGTCGATCTCTCATAGTAGTTCACACATGTTGACGGTGGTTGATGCTCCCCTGCTGTCAGCTGCTGACCGTGACAGGTCTCTACTCTGGGAACCTGTTGACTGCCTGTTGAACTTCCGTGTGACCCCTTTTATAGCGTTTTTTTATGGCTCGAAAAACGAAGCGAGTATAATTAGGAGGGAAGCATTTTTATTGGACGAAAAATAGAACACTTTAATTATTATTTTATTTTTCGATTGGAACTCGTGTGTCTGGAACATTTGTAATTGAAGGTAATGGTCATTTTGTGACGGGGCTTTGTCCCGTTCACATCCGGCTCTTGCTCTTGAGTATTTGCCTGTAAATCAGCCGAGATATGTCTTATTTTATTTTATAACATGACCTATACATTATCAGAGTTAACTCCTCCTTAATTGTCCAAATATTTCACAAGGGCACGTTCTCCCTATACTATAAATACTGGGCGACTTCTTGCCTCGTTCTCTTTTCTACTTTGCATTTCAGCTGACACATTTACAAAATGTGATCTCTCGCAAAGATCCTCGTTTTGGTTCACTTGTGGGAAAACGCCATTAAACACACAGACACATACGTACGAACATTCACCAATATACAAACTCTTTACGTTCACGTACAAACACAAATGTTAATGTCTTTGTCACTTGTAAATTTGTTGTTTAATATATATATTTGTTGACACACACACACACACACACACACACACACACACACACACACACACACACACACACATATATATATAATTATTTTTTATAAAAATAATTATATAAATATGTTATAACATTTTTATTGAGTATAATTTTTTTAAAAATAGTAATCTTTTGGTTATTGAATTCTTTTAAGAATAGTAACACCAATTATTATCATTCCGTATATATATATTATATATATATATATATATATATATATATATATATATATATATATTGGTCTTGTTTGCTTTCTTTACATCTTCGGTTGACTCAATTTGAGTCCGCACTTTTCTTGTAGTTGGACCTTCTAGCAGGAAATAAACAGCACGTGTTTCTAATTCAACAACACGTAAACACACAGTCCTTTACAACATAACAACATGTTTTTTTTTCGTTTTTTTTTTTTAATAATGTAAATTCGGCTTTTTGAAATTAATTGTTTGTATTTCATCAATTATTTGACTCCCAATGACAAGAGAAAAATGGCAAACAATTCTTTTTGATGTAGATAGATGTCTGCGCGGATGCAGACTCCACGATAAAAAAAATTTGTCTCGCCTGATCCGTTCACATTTTGGGGTGATTTTAATCGACATCTTCCAACTCACAAGCAGAGTGCAACGGAATCGTTTAACTTTGAAATGACAATCTTGAGGATGAAACCTGTATCTGACAGTTGTTAAATACGATACAGACTATCGATGTTTTTTAGATGAGGTATTGTAACTATTTACACTATTTCTACATTGTTTAGACCATTGTCCTCATTGCCATATTCGCAACGTTTCAGCCGTTGTACGCTCCGGCCTTCATTAGGTGATATTTATTGGAATTGATCATAAAAGTGACTTGACGCAAAGACTTGTGAATTCAATCCCAGGCCACATCAGAGACAATAAAAATTTGGAGAGTTATCAAGGGAAATTAACTAAGACGGAAATATCCAAAGGTATGGAATTAAAACAATCTATCCCTGTAGACTAAATAAAAGGTTCGGTTTGAAATTCCAATAAATATCACCTGAAGAAGGCCAGAGCTTAATGTGGGTAATTCAGTTCGCCTGTCGTCTGCGATGACTGAAATGGAATTGTGCTTGCTTTCGTCCAGTCCTCCTGTCTACCAACTGAGCTGTTGCTAGTGACCTCTTATTCTCTCAGTCTCGTTAGTACGCCATTACGCCAATAATTTTATATTTACACACTTTATCCCATAAATATAGCACATCTTAAGACTATATTTCTTCATATATATATATATATATATATATAACACCCTTGGAAGTGTGGTCTGATCCACAAGTTGAAAATCATACACCTGGAGAAATAAATTATAACCAATGGACCCTTAAGGTTGTCTGTTTCGTATTTAAATTTATATATATATTTTAAGACATTTTATGTTTATACATTCTTTTTAAAATGTCTTAAAATAATTGTTTGACTTTGTCCATTTCATAATATATATATATATATATATATATATATATATATATATATATATATATATATATATATATATATATACGCATGAAACTCATTCTGTTATAATTAATTTAAAAATTAGCTGTTACAGCTATGATGTTTTTTCATGTTTTGATCGAAGGGAGGTAATTTTAATATTTATATCAGTACGGAATCTTTAAGTTTTATATTCCAGAAATTGTTGGGATGTTTTACAAAATGATTTTTTTGTCCAGTTTCTTCTTATGAAGACAATTTTCGTAGCACAGGAAATAGATTACACACAGGAATATTTCTTAATGTCTCCTCTTGCTACTAAGACCACTGTTGTTCAGACTGTTATTTGGATTGGCTACTTGACATATTGCCTTTTATGTATACCTGCTATGCGGACGTCGTAGTAAACAGAAGAATTGTGGGTAATTCAGTTCGCCCGTCGTTTGCAATGACTGAAATGGATTTGTGCTTGCTTTCGTCCAGTCCTCCAGTCCACCAACTGAGTTGCTGCTAGTGACCTCTTATTCTCTCAGTCTCGTTAGTACGTCGTCACGCCAACAAAAGTTCTGCCGTCTTCCTCACAGACTCGCTATTTATGCCTGCGTCGGGGGGCAACTAAAATTTGCATACGAAACTTACTTCTCGTTCGTTCGAGACTTCCGATTTTATAAATTCAAGCTGGTTTGAATTCTTAGTCTTTTATTTTTTTTTTTTTTTTGTACGTCTGCCCGCGATATAGGAATTTCGAAATAAACCATTTCTCTTTTAATGCCGGTCGCTATCTTTCAACAGGACCTGACACGCCAAGCAAATTCTCTTTGTGGGAGGTAAGTCTTCTCGTTCCTCACACCTACAACATCTGAAATGTCGTGAATATGGCAATAAAGATGAGTAAAACAGTCCGAATGATGTAAATAGTGTAAACAATACGGGTTATTTTATCGTTATTATTTATTTTAATATAACATATCTAATGATCTGTCTGTTTGATTTTAGGTATATTGGACCGATGCACAGGAAGCCTCCATTAACAGAGCTAAACTCAATGGCCATTCACATGAAGTCTTAATTCACAACTTTTCCATAAGTAAGTTTTAATGGTAGCCATACTGTTAAGAAGAAAAAAAGTGGAAGCTACAAACAACAAATTGAGATAAGACATGGTTGACATAAGTAAAATAGAACTTTTAGTAATTTTATTTCCCGTGACTTACAACCGTTTGCTCGTTCCAGGATATCATATATCAATTGTAGGAGGCTGAGAGTCAGTTCAGGGTATAACAGAAGCTAGTCGTTGCGAATAATATGTGGAGAAAATCCACAGGCATATGTAGTCGATTGAGATAGAATCGTGGGGGAAATATTCTACAAATTATCGCATTGTAGTAGTCGCTAGTTAATTAATCTCTGCTGCTGCTGTTGGTTTCGTTGTTGGCTGAAGGCATCATTGTTGATGGAAGCGCTGTGGTGTTGCTGCTGATGGCCTGGGCATTATGGTAGTCAGTCATGTTTGGTTAAGCTCGCCTGCCGTGGGATTCGTCGCTAATATCTACCAGGTGGGGTCTACTTTAGTGGATGAAATCAGTGTTGAATTTATAGTGAGTCAGTGGATCAGAAATGGTTGCTGCGAAAACCACTTGGGCTTTTTTTTGATTGGTCAGAAAAAATGTTTTATGACCCTGGTATTTGTAGGTGATATTCCAGTAGTGGGTGCGCGAAGTCGGATAAAATTAAGGCCTGTTGTTTTCATATGAGCTGTGCATGTCGAAGTGAGCACATTTCGTTTGAGTTAAAGAATATGAATTCCGACAGGTTACGACCCGCTTTTCTTTGATTCTTGACTATTTTTTTTGATATGGTTAATTTTGACAATGTAGGATTACTCCACACTGTCTGCCAGGAGGCTTCTCTTGATGTCCGCTAGGTAGTATTGTATAAAGAAGAACCGTATTTTCCGTTTTACAAGCCGCTGCGTCTTGAATGACGTACCCTAATATTGGAAAGAAATTTCTAAGAAAAAAAGTAATTCCCATACAACACATTCACGATTCATCCCTTACATACTGGCGCCATGTATTGTTTACATTAATCATTCGTCCGATTTTGTTTTTTTTATGGCAATGACATACTAGTCAAGAGAAGAAAGGCTCTCACCGCTGCTAGTAAACAGAGTATGTTTAAGCTTGTGGCTCGGCTCCAGGAAGATTTATAGTCTTGGAAATACATGTGACAGCTAAGTACTGAGGTTACATCATATGAAAGACTGAATTAGATAGATAGCTAAAATTATAGTGTAATGACTCAACATATAAATCCAGGTCCCTATCAGTCAAGCCAATTAGGTCACCGCTTACTTGAGTTTGGGCATTGCCTTTCATTCGTCTTGGAAGACGCACGCGTACCAAACAGGGCATTTCTTAGGAAAAAAAGTGCGTCTTGTAAGCCGGAAAATACGGTACTAATGGCAAAAATTTCACCCCCTCCCTCTCACCTTCTGTTCTTTCGTTATTCAAACTCAGGGTGTCAAAGTAATAAGACGTATTTATTTAATTATTTGTTGGGTTTTACGGCATGTCAACCTCTGATCAGTCATTTTATGCCGGAACCATTTATTTAATTATTATTTTTTCAATTATTTAATACTTATCAAAGTAGTGTTGTATTTCAAAGTTTTGTTGTATTTAAATAGTTTGTAGAGATAATTTTATTTTTATTTTAAATCTAGTTGATTAAATAAAGTGTTCATTTGAAAATTCCCTGATGGTTACCCGAATCGGCAGACACCTGAAGAAGGCCAGTGGGCTAAAACACCCGAAACCTTGTGTTAATAGCAATAAAGATGAAGATATTAGTCCAAATATAAATAATGATAAATATTAATCACAGATATTCGAACTGAAAAGAGCAGAATATTTTATTTTTAAAATCTACTAATAACGCAGGTTCTTTATTAAATAATAAAAATATAATTGTTATTGTTTTTGATACAGTTTTATCAGTGTTTGTACTTGTAGAATTCTAACTGAAATCATTCAATTCCTGTACACAATAACCTCAATAAACGCAACGGCAATAAAAAAGTTGACAAATTAAGAAAAAATACAGGCGAATGTACATTTTTGTGCAAATTAATTGAAACAAAACGAATAATTCCGTAACATTTTTTCATATTTTTCCAATGAAACATGACTAAGTGCATATGTTAGTACTTCGTATGTCCATTACACGAAGTCTTTTCTTGCTGATTGACCACAGACTCGCGATTGGATTTAAATCAGGAGAATTTCCGAGCCAGTCGATAGTACTTTGATTTGCTCACTGATAAGGCTTGCCAGTGTGTTCGTGCAGCGTTACAATTTTCGTACGCTTCCTTGGAGTAATGTCCATCGCAGACAATAGCCGTAGGACAACTAATCGACAGTCGAGACAATAGTGTCTGGGCGTGATAAAAATCTGATGCAATCATGGATGAGGCAATATTTTTCAAGGCCAAACAAATTTCATCATACACCCCGAAAACAGATTCATATTACTGCATACCACTGCAAATGATCTAATCTGAGGAAAAAGTAGAAATCGATTACACCAGTGGTTCTAAAACTGGCCGTACGGCGAAAGAAAGGAAACGAAAGCGGTTGTTTCAATTAATTTGCACAAGGGTATAGATTTAGATATCAGTACTAAATTGGCAGCTAGGTCTTATCATTTTACAGTTGAAATGACTAAATGTCACCGTAAGTTCTATGCTAACAGTTTCTTTTCTCACATTTCCCTGTTGTGGAACTCTCTTCTGGCTTCTTACTTTCCAGTTAACTTTGATCTTCAAAAATTAATTGCAATGTCAATCGTCATCTTCTGTCTTATTGACACCCATTCTTTTATTGTCCTCTTTCCTTCATAAAGTTTTTTTTTAACTCTTTGCATGTAAATGGCTTTATTGCTTTGATTGGTTGAAATGATTAAAAAAACAACAACAAAGAAATAATAAGTAATAATTTATTCCCGTAAGATGATTTAGAGATTACTACAAAATCATTAAAGCAATGAAAATTACTTTTTGTCTTAATTTCTAGATTTTGGAGAAATTGCGATTGAGACAAATTCCCGCTTGTTATATTTTATCGACTATAAATCTGGAAGTATTGGTGCGTTGTCGCTGAAGACCAAAAGGTATGCGATACTCATTGGCACGGGACTGAAGCACACGTTTGGGCTCACGATAGATCCAGTGTCAGGGTAAGGTTGTTTTGTTGTTATCTACGTACGTCAGTCTGTTCATATCTATCTATCTATCTATCTATCTATCTATCTATCTATCTGTAATATATTTATATTTCATTGTTCATATCTATCTATCTATCTATCTATCTATGATCTATCTATCTATGACTGTCATATCTATCTATCTATCTATCTATCTATGATCCGTCAGTGTAATATATTTCATTATTCATATCTATCTATCTGACATCATATCTATCTATCTATCTATCTATCTATCTATCTGTAATATATTTCATTATTCATATCTATCTATCTGACAGTCTGTTCATATCTATCTATCTATCTATCTATCTATCTATCTATCTATCTATCTATGACAGTGTGTTCATATCTATCTATCTATCTATCTATCTATATTTATATTTCATTGTTCTGACAGTCTGTTCATATCTATCTGACAGTCTATCTATCATATCTATCTATTATCTATCTATCTATCTATCTATCTATCTATCTATCCGTCTATCTAATCTATCTATGACAGTGTGTTCTATCTATCTGACATATCTATCTATCTATAAATTTATATTTCATTGTTCATATATCTATCTATCTATCTCATGTAATATATTTATATTTCATTGTTCATATCTATCTATCTGACAGTCTGTTCATATCTATCTATCTATCTATCTATCTATCTATCTATCTGTAATAAATTTATATTTCATTGTTCATATCTATCTATCTATCTATCTATCTATCTATCTATCTATCTATCTATCGATCCGTCTATCTGTAATATATTTATATTTCATTGTTCATATCTATCTATCTATCTGATCATTATCTGTTCATATCTATCTATCTATCTTCTATAAATTTATATCTATCTATCTATCTATCTATCTATCTATCTATGATCTATCTATGTTCATATCTATCTATTCATCATCTATCATATCTATCTATCTATCTATCTATCTATAATATATTTATATGACAGTGTGTTCATTATCATTATTCATCTATCTATATCTATCTATCTGATATTTATTTCATTGTTCATATCTATCTATCTATATCTATATCTATCTATCTATCTATAATATATTTATATTTCACTGTTCATGTCTGTTCAGTCTATCATCTATCTGTCTATCTATCTATCTATCTATCTATCTATCTATCTATCTGTCTATCTATCTTGTCAGATTTTATTATTTTCCCTGTATAATTGGTATTAACCAATCAATATTGATAAAACATTCGGAATATATTTACATGATACATTGTGTTTCCACTTATGACATCAATTAATATTAAAAATATTGACATGACTTATTTTGCTGCTTCTAGGTTTTATAAAGCAAAAAGTTGAGTGCCAAATTAATGCAGAAATAAACCTAAAGGTTAGGCTATAGAAATAAACATTTGATTAACAAAATACCCTATATACGAGAATAAATTATTATTTTATATGTTCATGTGGGCTTGTGGACATTCTATAACCTACACGCGTCTTTCATTCATTGATTTTGTTAACTTTCTAACGTTTTCACTTTAACATCAATTACAGAAGACTTTATTGTTTTCCAGAGATGTTTTTTTCTCAAATGCTAATGTCTATTCTCATATACATCGTTTTTGATTTTTGTTAAATATAATATTACAGGCGAAAATAAGTTATTAGAAATATTACAATCAAAACAGATATAATAATCATAGTGCTTCTATCTATAATCAAAAGTATACACATATATATATATTATCATCCATAGACAGACTGTTTGGCAGCTCATCAGAGCAGGTAAACATCCGATGGCCTCTAGCCAGGATCGAAACCCGACTGTCTTAGTATCAATCGGAGACTCTACCACTAAGCCATTGGCGAATTTAGACGTATAGATTTTTTTATATAAACACGTCAGTGACTGAAGAACTCGATTCGTCTTAACGAAGTGTCTTGCATTAGCAGCAGTAATAGTTACGGTTTACAAATTCATTTTTTCTCCCCAGTGATATATATATATATATATATATATTTAACATACAACGTGTGTTAGCACGTGCGATACCCTGTCTTCATCAGCCGCTGACCAGGGGTGATCTCACGGTTTTGGTGGCTATGGCGGGACCGCCACCCTAGGCGCCACCAGCAGCGTTTGCCACCAGGCAGGGTATGAACCCCCCCCCCCCAAAAAAAAACTAATTGATCGTTCCTCTTTGTAAATTTTAATGAAATATATAAAACGATTGTACCTCTTTGCAGCTTCTGTCCGTAAATATATATATATATATATATATATATATATATATATATATATATATATATATATATATATATATATATATATATATATATATATATATATAAAAAAAAAAAAGAACAGTTATTTTCCGGTGTTCTTATAGATATTTTATTTTTTTACAAAATAGTGCTCAATGTAAATCATTATAAATTAATTGATTTAAAATATGGTTATTTTTGAGTTACAGTTCCAACCATCCTAATTTTATTTTTGCAAATTAACAAAATTCGCTTGAAGATGAAATAGAACACTTTTAATTTATTTGCAAAAATAAAATTGTATATATATATTTTATAGTAATCATCTTTATATATATATATATATATATATATATATATATATATATATATATATTGTGTATTTAGGCAGCATTTTTTCATTGATGCATGTTTCATGCAACTAATATAAACGTTTTGTCTATTTTATGTAAATTATTTTCATATCATCTGATAAGCTTAATAACATTATCATTAAAAGACAGAAGAAAATCACCATATTGATACATATTTTTTAATCCTATCTAAGCTTTCGGCTTACATAAGCCATTATCAAAGATGACAATTAGATTAGAGTATATTAACCATTACACGAACAAAACAATAATGATAGACTGTTTTTGTTTACATGCAAGATTTCCAAGCAACGACAAACTTGCGCATACGAGACGCTGGAAGCGAAAATCGCACCGCAGCTCATGACGTCACACATGACCACGCGAGAGTGAAAACGAGAAGTATTAAGTATGGGAAGCCGTTGGTATAATCCAGTGGCTTCTGTTATCAATTATAGGCATTTAAGAATATTTGTGGAGATTTCATAGTTTATTTTGTTCAGGTTAGGTATCAATATGTTGATTTTCTTTCGTCGTTTAATGTAATGATAATGTTAGTAAGCTTATCATACGATATGAAAAGAATTTCCATAAAATAGACAAAACTTGTCTATATTATTTATAATGAAATATGCATCAATACATACATACAAACACACACACACACACACACACACACACACACATATATATATATATATATATATATATATATATATATATATATAGATATAGATATATATATAGATATAGATATATATACACCAGAGCTCTATAGCTATGGATGCAGTTAATTTGATGATGTGTTGTCATCGCTGGACGGAGCAGAGCTTTCTAGACTGAATTCAGCAGCCAGAGCGGAGGGTTTTTCCCAATGGTACCAGCGCCACATGTACATGACCAAGGCGAGTTTTCTAGTTGGAGCTGTAGTTTAATCTGTAGTTTAATCTGGGGATGGGTAGGCTGTAACATGCCCAAGACATGTGGCCGTAGTGCCGCTACTTAGCTGATCACTTGACTAATTCCCTTCAGATAACTGAGTTGAAAGCTGGAAAGCTATTTCATTTATACATAGCGTGTCTGGGGCAAGTAGACGTGTCAAGGCGTATCTAGTACCTTTCCAGCTTTCAATCCAGATATATAGAGGGAATTGGTCAGGTGATCAGCTGCGGAGCGATTCTACCGTCACACCCACTCATGGGATTAATGCTAATGATAAATGATAATAATGATGCTATTCAGAGGAGTACTTAATGAGTACCACTGTTGGGAGGTACGCCATCAACTGTTCTTAATACAATTAGTTTATCTTGACGTTGAGCGCAGGCATTAGCATTACGTCTTTAATTGAAATGTTTTTTTTCCATTTCAGAAATCTGTTTACGACATCTCCGCACGAAACATCAGATTCACTTTGGAGTTTCCACCCTAACAGCGACATCGCCAATCACGCAATGACTGGCTTGCGGGATCCGAGAGGAATCTACTGTTGGAATAAAAGTAATTTATTTTCTATTATTGGATAAGGAAAAAAAAATTATGCAGAAAAAGTTCACTTTTATTACAACCATGCATCTTCCTTTTTCGCACAACAAAAGGATGGAATTTTTCCCCTTTTAATTTTTTTTAGGAATTGTATGATTGCTAAATCTTACTTATTATAAAACGCAGATTGTGTGTGTGTGTGTGTGTGTGTGTGTCTGTACGTTTATATATTGGATCGGATTTCCTACATTTTTCAACCGATTTCAACAAAACTTCACAGGACTGCGTAAAATTACCTTGCGGTGGTTCTGACAGCGCCAAAAATTGGAAAAACACAATTGTTTTTGCACGAAATCAATTTGAAAACACGATAAAACACAATTCTGTCGCCAGAATGAAAGGGGGACAACTCATATCGAGTTATACTTATTATAAAACCCAGGTTGTTTGTGTGTGTGTGTGTGTTCGTTTATATATGGGATCGGATTTCCTACATTTTTCAACCGATTTCAACAAAACTTAACTTTTTTTTGGCAGTTTCTTATTTTCTTGCACACTTTTTTCTTTATTTTTACATTCAGAATGTTTTAAAAATTCCATTTACAAGACAATTGTTTATAATAAAATTCTATTCAATCGATAGACTTATAACGATTGAAAACAATATTTTTGTTTGAGTTTGGGTTTGACCAATTCATAACCCCCCCCCAAAAAAAACAAAAAAAAACTAATTAAGACATGCGTGTCCGTCAACCTTAAACAATAATCTTTGTCAATTTTATTTTTCAGTCTTTATGATGGTCGATACTTGATCTATCTCTTACTGTTACATCCCCGGGCAACGTCGGGCTCTACTGCTAGTTCTAATATAAATTATCTCATTTTTAAATCTTCGTGGGGAATCTGATACTAACAGGTCGAATAGAGGGAACAAGAGACAAGAGAAAGCAACGCGTGACATACGTAGCGGGCTTAAGCAAGTGGATGATAGAACATGGCCTGGGGGAAGTGGCAAATGGACAAAACTTATTGAGAGCTATAAAGGATAGGAGGAAGTGGAGAGCCATGATCGCCTACAGCCTGAAGGGACACAGCACATAAAAAGAAGAGAAGATGTCTTAACCTAGTTTGGCCTTTGTTTAACACCTTACCTGCTGCATTGAACGATCGAACTCTTGCATTATATGAGAAAAGAGGGCTTGGAGAATCTGATACTCACAGGTAGAATAGAGGAAAAGAGTGACAAGAGAAAGCAACGCGTGACATATCTAGCGGGCTTAAGCAAGTGGATGACAGAACAGGGTCTGGGAGAGGTGGCAAAGGAACAAAACTTATTGAGAGCTACACGAATAGAGTGAAGTGGAGAGCCATAATCGCTTATGTCCTGAAGGCACACTGCATATAAAAAGTGAATTTCGGTACCTGTCGCCTCTCTGACAGCAAGATGATCAACTTTTAAATCTAAATTGTTTGTCTAGTTAAAATACTATATTTCATTTTACATTCCATTTAAATACAGAAGGGGGTCACAAAAATGACCTCAAACGACCAACTTTTCCTCTTTTCCTGTTACTTTGGGGTTGTTGCCAGACAGAATAGGAAATTAGCCCTCACCATACAGATCTCCCTTTCAATTTCATTCAAACTGTGTGTGTATGTACGTTTGCGCGTGCATATGTATATTTTAATTCAATGTATTGGTATTAAGGCGTACCTCCCCCTCCCCTGTTTAGTTTGGAATCATCTGTATACTTAATGTGCCTGTCGTTGTAAAAGTAGCCCAATTCGGTGAATATATAAAGGAACAATTTCTTAACCTGTTGGTCCAGATAGATGTTTTCTGTTTCTCGTGATTTTGACTTGAATAGGGCTGAAGAATGAATCAACCGAAACGTCAACAAAGATATATATATATATATATATATATATATATATATATATATATATATATAAGATTTTAATTTATAAATTTGCATCATTTGTAAAGGGAACTTTTTAACACCTTTTTCTTTACGACTTTTCTACTGAAGTGTTGTATACAACAATAGTGGATAAATAGTGGACAAATAGTGGTTTAATATGTAGTGGCTAGTAGCTGTATCTTGGAAGTGTTCTAACAGAGGATGGAAAGTGCGACACTGAGGCACGGTGGAGTAATGGATAGCGGCTCAGACTGAGGAATTAGAGAGCCGAGTTCGAACTTACGTGCTAATACCCTTGCGAACGGTATGAATCCTCTTCTTCTCCCACCAGCTATGGGTAAATAGAAGGCAGACTGGGTTCTATAGCTTTGCGTGGCAACCAGTCTAAAAAATTTGAATTTAAAACCAGCCCCAGCTCCGTCAGGTTATGGGGCTCCTTTTTCGTTAGTTAACCTTCTTAGGGAGCCCTTCTTTTCCTCCTTCACCTACGAAGACGTATTGGGGTGGCCAAAGACATATTCCAAAAGCTAAACAAAGTATTAGGAGACAAAAAAAAGAGTACGCGATATCTATCCTGCTGTATGGCAGCGAATGTTAGACAATTCCCTCAACGATGAAGAAGAGACTCAAAGCAACAGAAATGTGGTTCTACAGAAGGATGCTGAGGATACCATGGAGTGAAAGGACATAGCATATGAAAGATGAAGACGGAAGAAACATGAAACTTAAAGAAATGAGATTGAGAAAATGTTTTATTTAGGTTTAGTCTGGCACTTTGGCAAGCTTGTTATCTGCATGTTGATAAAAAGGACATAGCCTTGAAGTTCGTTGACAAGAGTTTTTGATAATTCAGTTTGATAAGTTTTTGAGTTGAGAGAACATTATGGAAAAATATAAATAACAATCAAGATAAGATGAAAATCGTTCATATTTACGTCACTGTATATTGTTTGTTGAAGAGTGTATATGGAACAAATCTGAGGGAAGGACTTTTAAGATGTATTCAGCTTCACTTTTAACCTGATTCATATATATATATATATATATATATATATATATATATATATATATATATAAAACAAAAAAATAATAAAAAAACAAAAACGGGGAACTTTAGAAATGCTGTTTTCTGGTTGGTTCAAAAGCATATTTTTGTATTCTAGCGCAAAGATCCAAACAGTTGGACAAAACTGAATTCACCAGGAGCGTTTAGCTGTCGTCGAATGAAAATAATCATTATGAAGTGACAGCTTTGCACGGCTTAGCGTGGTTCGATCAATAAGCAAGTCGTGTGCTGATTGGTCGGACTAGAAGATGCCATTTGCCTGGGTAACTGAGAACAAAAGCGAAGAACGCTAACTGGTCAGTCGGCCGTGGTGTTGGTATGATAAAAGAGGGATGAAGTAGTAAGAAGGGAACGATTTTTATGTTGGTGACGTGAGCGGGAACTCAAGAACGGTGGCTTGAAAAAGAAATATTTAGTGTTGTATGAGCAACGTGAGAGGAACACAAGCTCATTTACGCTACACGTGTCTTGCGAGGTGGTATCTATACCACTAAAATTATTTTCAACAAAATGATACGGAGGAAAAGAAATGCACTACAGGTTGGAATTTTTATGAAATATTTATCCTATAAAATAAGATGGGAACAATAAAATTATGGCTGTGATAAAAGGCATGTTTTTCATTAAATAACAGAGTTCAAATCCAAAAGTCAACATTTTTTAATAATTAAAAAAAATCCTAATTACGCATCCGCTGAGGAGGAGCCCTTTTTTTGTTAGTAACTGTGAGCCTAGTGCTCTGACCCCTAGGGGTAAATGTGAAAGAAAGAAAAAAAGTTTCTTTTTGAAAACATGAATTTTTTTTAAAGATGCCTGCTTCTGCTACGACGTATAACCGCTACATGCATGACTCTGTGTCTGCTGTTTTCATTCTGGTATAAACTCAAGCACAGACCTAGATTCAAATACATGCTGTGGCTTCCCTCTGTCTTTTCTATAAATATTTTCATGGCAACTGTCCGGACAAGCTACTTTCACTGGTACCCCAAATTGCATGAATTTAAGCGTGCTACTAGGTTGGCATATCAGTACCACCTTCTCATTATCGAAGCAATTAAATATAACCGCCGCTTCTACTCCAACAGCTTCTTCTCTTGCACTTCCCGACATTGGAACTCCCTTCCGCCTACTTGCTTCTCTGATAGCTATAATCTTCAAATATTGAGGTGTGTTATATAGAAATAAAATTGTTATTGCCGACACTTGAGTTTGAACATAGATCACCAGAGAGCAAACACAGGCGATCCCATTATTGAATTAAGTTGATCACGTGACCATAGAGTAAATGCATAAATAGAAAGTATCGTGACGCCTAACTGATCGCCAGTTCTGTTCTATCCTCTATCACTATACGGATCGCTATTTCCTTCTCTACACTATTTTTCATACTGATCGCTATACGGATCACTTCGGAAGTGTGCTTGTCAAACCTTCTGCCTCCAGGGAGAGAGGATCCCCAGACGAGGTTTATGTCGAAGGACAGAGTTTCGTCTCGGAAGACAGCTACCCGACCCTGTTTTTTACGGGCTCTACAGGGAATTTTGGGCCGAGCCTACTGGCTTGGATTGCCCTACATTAAATTCGGCCTTGTGCCACATCCTACTTCGTGGGGAGGTTGGTAAATATTACTAGCTGGGATCTGTTACTCAGCTATTAGCTGCTGTCAAACTCTATGCCTTCGGACAGAGAGGAACCCGGACGAGGCTATGCCGAAGGGTAGAGTCTCCTCTGGGGGAGGTAGACAGATCTGAACCCGTTTATGCGCGGTTTACGGGGAATTTTTGACTGAGCCTATGGGCTCGGATTGCTCCCCATTAAATTCGGTCTTGTGCCACATCCTATCCCGTGGTGTTGGTGGTAGTGTTGGTGGTGGGGGGTAAATATTACTATCTGGAATCTTTTCCTGCTGTGCTGGTCAAACTCTCTGTCTGGAGGCAGAGAGGATCCACAGACGAGGCTATGCCGAAGGGCAGAGTCTCGTTTTGGGAGACAGCTACCCGACCCTGTTTTTTACGGGGTATACGGGT